CTTGTTAAACCTCATGAGGCTCACACGGGCCCACTTCTCCAGCTTGTCCAGGTCCCTCTGGATGGCATCCCATCCCTCTGGCGTGTCGACCGCACCACTCAGCTTGGTGTCATCTGCAAACTTGCTGAGGGTGCGCTCGATCCCACTGTCTGTGTCATTGATGAAGATATTAAACAGTACCGGTCCCAATACGGACCCCTGCGGGACGCCACTCGTCACCAGTCTCCATCTGGACATTGAGCCATTGACGACTACCCCCTGGATGCGACCACCTAACCAATTCCTCACCCACTGGACAGTCCACCCATCACATCCATACCTCTCCGGTTTAGAGAGAAGGATGTTGTGGGGGACTGTGTCAAAGGCCTTACAGAGGTCCAGATAGACGACATCTGTAGCCCTTCCCATGTTCACTGATGTAGCCACTCCATCATAGAAGGCCACTAGGTTATATAAGCTGCTCCAGTCAGATAACATTCGTAGCAACCTGTCACTTGTAACTGATAATTAACACCCAATTCAAATTAAAATAAATTGCCAGTTGGACAAGAAATGAGGTGTGCAAACCCAGGCCCTTAAAAAGCCAGAAATATTTGGCAGAAATGTCAGTTCTATCTGTCTTGTGACAAAGTATTTCAAATTGTGAATCCAGCACTTTGGTAGTTTCATCTTAAGACCTTAAACTAAAGTTTCATCTTTAGTTTTCACAAAAAAATAGTTGTATTTAGGTTTCTTACCTGGGGTCCTGTTGTCCAGTGCTACCTCTTCCATACAGAGGAATAACTTTATCTCGACTGATTCCTGCTTTGCATACAGGACACACTTGTCTGTTTGGCCTGGTCTCTAGCCACTAAAAGAGGAAATTATAAGAAAACTAGTAAGAGACCATGAAAACAACATGCAAACCTCATTTGCAGCCAGGCAGAGACTTTAGCAATTTCTCAGAAAGCCATGAAGCAAAATGTTTTAAGATGTGCCACGTACTCTCCAAAGTGTTGGTATTTTGGCTATTGTTCTGGTACAATCCACTTGCTGATGTGTAGAATTCAGAACTGCACTGGAGTAAAATGTGAAGAAATAAACAGTACCAACAGTCCTGCATAGGCCAAGGGCTAGTGTAGATACCCTCCTTTCATCTATCTTTTCTATAGTGGTACCACAATGTAAAACACTACATGTGCAAAGAGAAGTATACTCAGCACTTAAGCCTGCAAAGTAAACCCCTGTGAACTGCTTACAGCAATTCTCCTACCAAACTGGGAATACTCAGCGTTTAAGAAACTCAAAAGTTGGAGGCAAGTGGAACAGAATCTACGTTTTCTTTTTGCCGAAAGAGCAGATTGCAAGGTGTTGCCTGAAGTTGCATTAGCACGTTGCAATTGCCCTGGAGAGAAAGAAGTGCATTTGAAAAGAGGGGGACGCTCCAGAGAACCAAGGTCTTTATTGAGTAAGGAGCTGATGAAAGACAAAGTAAAAGGAAACCTGTCTTACCTGGTGTAAACAAGGCCAACTGTGAGCATTCCCAGGACAATTTGTTCACAGAGCAGAAACAGAGGAGAAAATAGAATTAGTTACTGACAACTCAATCCGACAAACGTATAAAGCGTACCATGGATAGCACAGCTTGGAGACAACAGAATCCTGGAATCCAGCTGGGCCAGTTCCATAACCTCCCATTAAAATAATTTTTGAAAGCACAGCCCAAGACCAATCCCCACTGGTCTTTTCAGGTTATGCAATCTAACTAAGTTGCTAACATGATTCTCTGCATATGACCTTTGATTCCTGGGTCCTCATCTATACCAAAGGCCCATACAGAGGCTTAATTAATCTTAGTGTTTACTGTACAGATTTTCTCTTCTGATACCATGAAAAGATAGCCCTGAGCTAAGATGCAAATGAGGAAGATGTCAGTAATGAGACTTCAGGATCTTAAAAGAAGTCACACAAGGGACACTTAGCTAAAACATCGGCCACATTCACAGAATCATGGAATAACTCAGGCTGGACGATACCTCAGGTGGCCTCTAGTCCAACCTTATGCTCGGAGCAGGGTCAGCTGTTGAGATCAGACCCAGTTGCTAAGGACAGAGAAATTCCCATTATACAGAACTACTCTTACGATTAAATTAATATGGCAACTTAAAAAAGGTCAAAAACAAACGAGCAAGCGACGAGATAAAACTGCTAAACAGCCGTCTGCTTTCAAAGTGGTCTTGACAACACTATTCAGACAAGATACATGCTATTTTTTAAGGTTCCATTCTTCCAAATCCTTTTGTGCAATAATTTAATCTAATTTTATCTTAACATGCCATCAGCAAGTGATTTTCCAGCTCATCCTAGATCAAAAACCTGGATTTTCAGATGTTACATACATTTACACAGAAAAGAAATGCTCTTTTAGGCCTCTTTTTATTAAAGAGCATAATTTAGCCTACTGTGTAAAATAAACCCAAAAAAACCCCATTTGGCCATGTCAATCCTTAATGACTTCTTAACATTTAAGAAAGAGTATATTCTAGACCAAGTTACCCAAATAAGAAATGCTGCATCCTTATTATATTTGTGCGATACATTCCGAAGTCAGATCAAAGAACTGAAAAGTTAGTATTACAACTGCAATACCATGGGAAAAGAGAAATAGCCCACATGTAAAAGCTTGTTATCTAATTATTTTTTTTTAATGGTTTCAAAGGAAAAAAAAAGCAAGCTTGTAGGAAGTATGAAAACTACAATTTGGCCTCCAGAACCTAGTTTCAGATGCAAGTTTAGGTATGCACAGGTTAGAAAGGAATTTATGTCTGAACAAGATATCTATGCTAGACCAGACAGCACAAATAAAATAACACACATAACCAAGCAGTATCAATGAACACTGAACTGTCTATGTGGGGCTGCTTATTTGTTTGCTTTTACAAAATAATCCAAAAGTATAGGAAGTTTAAGATGCAAGAAACGCACTCCCTGGAACATGAACAAGGAAAAACAGTCGAGGAGCAAAACCAAACTGCTCCTAAACCAAAACCATGGTCCTTACTAATTTTTTACAAGACATTTTATTTGACATCTAGAATTATAAAAATCGTAGGCTTTTATGTGATCAGAGAGATATATGGTGTTCTGGTTTATCTGTGGGGGCTTGAGTACTTACCAGAAGAGATGTCCACACAAGCTGATAACTGCATCCTTGGCAGTGTCTAAACAGATGTTACATTCAAAAGTGTTGTCCTGATTAGCGTTGTCCCCAGTACCATTACTGCTACTGCTGCCACTGGTCCCTCCAGTACTGGAGTTCTTTGTTGATGCAGAAGTCGTGGGTCCTTTGCTTGCCATCCTCAAGAACTACCCAGACAAGGTCAAGAAAATTTTCCTGTTGGAATCCTAGCAGTGAGAAAGGAAAAAAACAAAAACAACTTCTTGGCATTATAACATTGCATTCTTGTCCTGTTCCAAACTGGTAGTGACTTATCTAAGAAGCACTTGAATCCTATTGTTGATGGTTTTAGTTTAACATAGCCAAGAGGGATCTTTTTTTAGAAACTAAGCTACTTTAAAGTCCTGTAGTATGATCTGTCTGATAGGTGACCTGTGTTTTAAAGTTACTGATAAGCAACTGCCATCCACAGCCAAAACAAAACCATCGTGTTTTCTCATAAATGCCGTTTGCTATGAGAAGAATGAGCTCACCTAGTCATACATGCTCTTCCAAAAATTCAATGCAAGTTATAACTGTGAGCGCAGTCTGAAATAGGATTTAATCACGAAGCAATTCAGTTTGGACAGACTGACTTACGGCATAGTTTTAAGTTCAATGTTCATTAGTTTGGAATATTAATGATAATAATGGCAAGCAAAGGTGGCTTAGTACTTGAGTTGTCTCATCAGCAGTACATTGCTGCTATCACAGCAGTGTGTTGATATGACTATCCAACATTTCTAGTACTTTCAAACTACCAAACATGTCTAATCTAGTAGTAATACAGAAGTACTAAAAAATTTACTTTAATGTGTTTTAATTTTACTTACATGCTTTCACCTCTCATTAATGTCATCATATTTATCAATGAACACCATTTATTTTATTTCAGTAGCAACAACCTCTACAGTCTAATTCCTTGATACGTAAATTCCACAGTACCTAAAACTTTGAGACTCAGCACAAGGCATTTACATTTCCAGAAACAAACACTTTTACCAGTACAAGATTTTTAATCCAACAACTAAGAGTTTCAGCAGTTACAGAAATTAATACACCAAACCAAAAATGTTTAAATGTTTAAAATATTCCACTGTGCTTTTCATGAAATTCTGACATCACGTTGCTGCTGCAGGGATATGAATACCTAGATAAGGTTGTGAGAGAGAAACAGGTGATTACCTGAACTTTTTACAAGTGTACAAACAGTTAAGCATTTTAAAAGGGCAACCTGAATTTTTCAGAAGCTAATTTATTCGCAAACTTACCCCACAAGCATTAAAGGCTTTCCTTAGTGTCCCCTCTTTGTGCTAAAGCACAGGTGCAGGGCAGCGAAATAAAGCCTCAGTATCTGTAGCTGTTATTGTCAACAGCTTTTCTCATACAATACAATCCCACTGCACGGTCAAGAAAGCGTCATGCTCAAGCCTCATGAAGGTATTGCAGCGAAGACACTCAATTACAGCAAGTGAAATATATTTTTGCAGAGCTTTTTCACTCAGTTACATCATTTTGCACAGTGTCCCAGAAGGGCAGCTTTGTATTCACAGATGCTGTACTTTAGCATACGTTGCTTTCAGCGCTGCTGACTCTTAGCATTTCACACCAGAACTTCATTTACACTCAGCAGCAATGCAGTTCATTGTACAAAATTAAAATTCACGTTAGTTCAAGGCAAATGGAAATGCTGCCAGCCCACAAACTATACGCTAAAGATGCTTGGATTTTTCAGACATCCTTACTACCAGAATCTTCAGCCTCACTGCTGAAGATTAAACTGCTCAGTAGTTTAATGCTTGAAAACTTACCTACTTGGACCTGTATATATTTGCTGGGAATTAATATCAACATTGAGAAAACCTCCTTAAAACTAAGGAGTTCAACACATTGTAAAAAACACTAGCATCACTTTATGGAGTAGGCACAAGAAATGTCTGGCTCTTATATCTTGACATATAACACAAGGAAAGCATGTAGAAGAGGCAAATAAATGAATGTCTGTGTCCCTAAAACCAATGTGGAAAAAAGGTCCTTTTTTCCAAATTAAATTCCATATATTTAACACCAGAAATCTGGAGAATCATCAAAAAGATAAAATCTGTATCTTCACAAACACCTACTTAAAAAAAACTTAGCTTTTAGTAACTATGAAAAAGAAATAAATCATTAAGTTATGAAGAAGAATGATAGAGAAATCCATAGGAATATCAGTAATGGAATGGAATGAAGACAGCTGAGACAGAAGAAAGATCAAAATGATATAATGCAACAGGCACTGAATCTACCCTCCTAGGAGAAGGCCATTCCTTAGTCTGTACTGGGATCCTCTCCTCATCATTTCTCCATAGGCTGATTTGGCCTGATGACCTATTAGGATATAACTAATTTAAAATATCAAAAACATATCAAAACACAATAATAAAAATAATCAATCTTATTCTGAAAAGCCTTCTCAAACATTTGCTCTTGTCCGTGGAATACTGTTTTAACATAACTAGGTCTGTAACAAGTGCTGTTGGGGTCTGTTCATCTGCTCCACATATACAAAGAAGCAAGTGTGAAACAGCATCCAATGACCAAACTTACATTTGATAATCATATAGTGTCACTTGTGAGGATAGTCTGTCAATCCTAAAGTAGAAGTTCAACTGCAAATTCAACTTGTTCTGAGTGCAGAACAAGCTCAAAATTGTTGAAACATCACTTAACTACTTAAACTCTGAGACAAAACTTTTTAGGAAGGGGGGGAAAAAAAAAAAATCAAAACAAACCACAAGCAAACCACAAACTAAAAAAAAAACCCAACCCAAACAAAAAGGCCAACCAGCACAACAGGTCAAACCAACCCCATTTTCATTTTGATTTAGAGTTCAGAGGAAAGACTGTGAGTACACTGGGATATAACATGACTTTTGGGGTTAAGTAAACGGAATTTAGAGATGCCCGTCCAGGTTTGCTAAACCCTTGTCCTTTAGATCAGGTCTCCAAATCAACCCTAGATGCATGATGAGTAGCAAACAAAACAAGTGAAAGGATATAAAAATCAGCTGTGATCTAACTGCAAGCATTCAAAGACCTTGTCTTTTTTCTTTCTTGCTTCTTTGCTCTGTAGATATTTACAGGAAAACAGTAACTTTCTTATTTAAAAGCCATCTATATTAGCTGTTTAGTTCCTTTAAGTCATGACCCCTATGATATCCCAACAGGTTGTTCTGAGAATGACTGAATCACTGACATTTACTACATCCAAGAATCAGGAGTGGCAACAGATGAATGGGTAAGAAACAAAGAACCCATTTTCAAGTAGTCTTCCTAAATAAAAAAAGTCTGGTGGAGCGTGAAGAAGACATGGAAGTGAAGATACATGTTTGGGGATCCAGCACAAATCCCACCGAGTTGCGTAAAGAATAAGCATGGAATAAGAGATGGTGAAACTGCACCTCCAAGAAGCAGATGGCACACTGGGACCTGAAAGTTTCATGACAACAGAGAGCACAGGAGGTCCATGAAAGACTGCAGGAAACTGGTAAGGTCTATGTACCGTGTATAAATACTGTGTATGAATCTCACTAACAGGCAATAAGAAAGAAATTTTACTCAAATACTTTAAACCTATAAATCTAGTGGGAGCAACTGCACACCAGGAAAATGCGAGCCGAATGGCTACTGTAAAAGATCACGTTTCTGAGTTCAGCAAACGAGAAATGCCTGCATTTGCCAAAGTACAGACCTGACTCTAAAAATACAAGAGAGACACTTCAAGACAGACTGGGAGAGTTTCCACCATAAGTTAAAGTGTACAAAAAAATCCACTGGAAACACAGCAGGTGAACAATAATTCAACCTGAGAAAGACAGAGGGGGAATATAAATTAAAAGCTAATGTCATCTGTATGAAACAGTTGTAGAATACATGTTCACAGCACTACAACATTAGGATGTTTGAAGTATTTGCTTTTTAATCTTCTTTCATGAGCAATGAGAAAAATTTTTGGTGAGGATATAGGACTCTGGGCTAGTTTATTAATAAAACCCAAAGTTTATTCCTCTTTGCGGTATCTAATACCTAACAATGAAATAAAAAGAAGAGCACTGTTGGATGTAGAATTCCACTAGAAAGACACTTTTCCGTATTTCTTGCCTAATTAATCTTACTTTATCTAGGATTACTGAAATTGAAATAATCCAAATCTAGTTTGTTTCTGAAACAAGTTCTGATTTAGTTTCTGAACTTTTTGCTGTTCAAATCAAAAGGAAAACTTGTCGGGTTGTTTTTCTTATCTCTATAGTGACAATGTCATTTTCAGACACATATGACAAATTTTATAAAAGGAATATTAACATTTAGAAATTTTATCTAAATCTAAAAATATTACTCAGAGTTTATATAAATACACCTACTCATAAGTTCAACAAAAATCTGATTCTTAACCTATTACAATAGCCTGGACTTTGAGTAAAACGAACAGGTAACCTTAGTTGATAATTGCTGACAGTGCCCAGAAGAAAGTACATTTACTTCTTGACAGTCATCTTTAGATGTTCTTAGCAAATACCTGACTAAAGTCCTACTGTTAATCATCAAATACACATTTATCTCTCACTACCTTTTTATTCTGTCCCCCAAACATGTTACATTTTAACACCTCGGCAACATTTTCTGAGTTCATCTTTTCACTTCCTGTAACCCGTACAGCATCACGTACCCGCTTTTTAGTATTACCACAAAGGGGTCCCAACATACAAGTTTGCGTGATCGCTTGGTCTTGCAAGATCAGCCATTTGCCTCACAGACCAACGTGCCCTTGCTTGGCCTCATTTCATTAATGGGGATTCTGCGAGGTATGTCCGTGTTACAGTTGCTGCTTCCAGGATAAGAGCCTTGCTGAAAGGCTGTTTTGGCAACTCTAAGGATTCAATGTACCTCACAAATGCAAGGCATTATTACAAACTATCAAAAAAAGCAAGCGATTGAAATAATTTTTTTTTTACCATTCCATAAAAGTATAATATACACTCCAAGAAAACATTGCACAAATCTTTAGACGAAGATTTTATCCTCTTACCTCTTAAAGTCCAAAGGAAAAAAAAAAACAAACTGATACAACCAGTTGGGTAATACTGCCTGAGCATTTTCCTGGTTTGGAGTGTTATGTAAAACATTAAATGCCCTTTAAATGGGCTAACCAGGTTAGCAGCAAAATGTAAAAATAAAGTAAAATAGTTACGATGTGGTTTAAGAAGTAATAAGCAATCCCCAAGAGAAAAAAAAAAATGGCATGTACCAGAAGCTAACGCTTTGCGACCATACCCAGAGCCAGACATTTATCTAACGCGAAACAGGCGCTTCTCCTCGCAGAGGGTTTCAGCTTTGCCGCAGAGCGAGGGGGCCCAGGCACCAGCAGGCCGCTAAAACCGGGGATTTCGGAGGAAAACCCTCGCAGGCGGCGGCGGGCCCTGCGCGCCGCGGCGGCGGCGAACCCCGGG